TACCTCAAGGCTCCAGGCCGGTGCCACCGGCGTTACTGGGGGCCTAATATTTCGAAACCCTTTCATAAATTGAGAGATCAGCGGATCGCTAAAGCAAGACGGGAGTCCCGTCTTCTTACGAAACCACGTTAAAGCAGCTAAATAACACTTCAGTGAAGACAAGGTAAGGCCTTAGTTTGCAAGTAACATCAAAAACTCCAGTATTACACTAGTTGGGGCTGTGCAAGGGTCTGTTCCTTTCTCTTGAGCAAATTTCGTAAACCTTGACCATTTGTAAATGTATGACTTTCTTGTGGATGCCCTCTGTGCTGCCGCAAGGACATCTTTAACATCTTTGGACAAACCCGGATTCAATCCTCCTGAATTGGGAGGATCCTCCATGCAGTCAACCTCAGGTTGTGGACATCCGGGTATAGGACCCGATTGTTCTGGACCGACAGTAGGTCCTTCCTGCAAGGAAGTGGTTTGAAAATTTTCCTGGACAATTGAAGAATTAGGGCAAACCACAGTTGGCGTGGCCACCATGGGGTGATAAGGATCCCTTTGGCCCTGTCCTGGCACAACTTCGAAACTACTCTGAGTATCAGTGGGAATGGAGGGAATGCATAAACTTCTTGCATCCCCCAATGAATTAGGAAGGCGTCTCCTAGACAACTGTGTCCCGCATTCCCTCTTGTCCTCGCGCAGAACAGGCGGCATTTCCTGTTCTCTCGTGATGCAAACAGATCTACCGTTGGCGTCCCCCATGCTCTGAAAAGGAGGGATGTTATCTCCTCGTTCAACGCCCATTCGTGATGACTTAGCGGGCTTCTGCTTAGGAAATCTGCCAGAGTGTTTTGTTTCCCTAGCAGATGGACTGCTGTGAGGTGGATGTTCCTCTCTACATACCAGTGCCATATTTTTAGCGTCAATGTCAATAGAGTGGGGGAATGTGTGCCGCCCTGCTTGTTGATGTAAAACATCAGAGTCGTATTGTCTGTGAGAATTTGGACAATTTGATTTGCTAAAATTGGTTTGAAGGCCTTTAACGCCTTGTCTACTGCAAGCAGCTCCAATTGGTTTATGTGTAAAGCAGATTCTATTGGTGTCCACTTCCCTTGAGCTGTGAGATCGTCTACATGAGCTCCCCACCCCATGAGTGAAGAGTCCGTGGTTATAACCTTGGAAACAGCAGACTCCTGGAAAGGCAGTCCTGCACAGAGATTGTCGTGCTCGAACCACCATAATAGGGACTCCCGTATCACCCCAGGTAATGAAAGGAGCGTGTGCGGCTTGTGTATTAAAGGATCGAATACTGACAGGAACCATGATTGTAACGGTCTCATGTGAAGTCTTGCTAGAGGGGTTACTGCTGTGGTGGAGGCCATATGACCCAGGATCACTTGTATCTTTCTGGCCTGTACTTTGTCTCATTGGAGCAACACACATATTAGTCTTTCTAGATTTATGAAGCGGTCATCTGGTAGAAACGCCCTCTGCAACTGCGAATCCAGTACCACTCCGATAAACTGTATTCTCATTGGTGTGAGCTGGGATTTCTCCCAATTTATGATCAGATCTAGGGACTGGAGAAAACATAATGTTTTGTTGATATGCTCTATGAGTTTATCTCTAGATTTTGCTGTAACTAACTAGTCATCTATATACAGATAAACTGTAATCCCAGAAATGCGTAGGTAAGCTGCAACTGCCGCCATGCACTTAGTAAACACCCTTGGCGCAGTCTCTAGCCCGAACGCCAATACGTTGAAAGTAAAAGCTTGGTTTCCCACCATAAATGCTAGATATCTCCTATGCTCCTTAGCAATTGACACGTGGAAATAAGCGTCTTTAAGATCCACCGTTGCAAACCAATCATCTTTATTTAGCAAAGGAAGCAATGTTTTCAAAGATAACATTCAAAATTTCTTAGTTGTTATGAATGAGTTTACATCTCTCAAGTCTAATATAGGACGTTGTCCTCCTCCTTTTTTGGAGATTAGGAAATATCTTGAGTAGAAACACAGCCTATGTTCTCCTGGTAGCAATGGAGAAATAGCTCCTTTGGATAGTAGTGTTAATCTCTTCTTGTAGTAAAGGAGAAGGAGTTGTCACTTTAACTTTACCCACAGGTGGTAATTCATCAAACTCAATAAAATAACCATTCTTAATAATTCTTAGCACCCACTGGTCATTCGTTATCTCAGACCAGATGTTATAATAAGGCGCTAAACGATTTTCAAAAAAAAGGGATGCAATGTATCATCTATTTTCTTATTTATGTTCCCAAAACATTGAGTATGTGTAACTTTAACAACATTCAGAACTGTAACATTTGGTTCAACTCCCCCAACAGGGGGATCTTCCGTTGAACCATTCGCAACAGAGGAGCTATCAAAAGTGCTGCTTTGGGCCCCCTGGACGGCTAGGCTTATTTTGGTATGGCTGGTAGCGATTCTTTGCCCCGTAGGACTGCTTTCGTTGTCCAAATGGTCTGTTATATTGTGATGACTGTTGGCGTTGCGGTGTGGTCATATAGTTACCAAAGTTTCTCTTGTAGTATGGGAATGAATTCTGCCATCTAGGCTTTTGTTGATATGTGCTTTGTTTTGGAAAGCCATAAATTTGGATGGTCTTCTTCATTTCTTGGTTGTGTTTAAGCCTCTCATCAGTCACAGGATTAAACAGTCCGTCCTGATGCATGGGAAGTTCCTCCGCTAACGATCTACCCTCCTCAGATAGATCAGATGTTCTCAACCACGCATGATGTCGCGTTGATGTGGCTATAGCAAACATTTTCCCAGCTGACTCCGCTAAGTGCTTTGCAAAGTCCTTCTGGTATTTTGATAAAAGAATTGCTTCTGTACTAAATGCTCTTGGTAGACGTCTCTCCTCCTCTGGTAGGAGAGCAATGTATGGTACCATCTTGTTCCATAAGAATGTCTGGTATGCACTTAAGTACGTCGCATAGTGGGCCATCCTTGAAATGAGGACTGCTGCCATGTGCATTTTCTTTCCCATCATGTCAATTTTCTTGCCCTCTTTATCTGCTGGTGCAGAAGCTGTCTTCCTGGGTTTTTTCCCCTGACCAACTTCCGCAATCACTGTGTTAGGTCTAAATGGACGCACTAACCATTCAGCATTCGCTAAATCAACTCTGTATAAGCTGTCCACTTTTCTTGGCATCGCTGGTGCTGATGCTGGAGAGCCCTCAGGAATTTTTGTTAACTTTAGTAAATAAGGCAAAGTTGGGAGTGCAGTGCTATTTGGAGTTTCCTGTTGTTCAGCCGGAAACATAGGATCTTCCACTGTGTCTTGAGGTTTGGGTGCTGGTAAATCTAGTGCTTTAATCATTCTAGACAACATTGCGTTAAATTTCTTGTATTCTTCTGCCATAGATTTATCTTGCTCTGCTTCCTTAGACTCCTCTAAAATAAATGCATTATCATCTGAAGATTCAGATGGGTCAATTAATGTCTCTTGTTGAATACTAGGTGTGGAAGGGCCTTCTAATGGGTCCTCTTCATGGTCTAATGTATGGTTTAAATGATTCCCTCCATGGTTGTCTCTATGGTAATTATTTGGTTGGCAATGACAAGGGACAGGACCTGCACAATATATCATTTGCCCTTGTGGAGTCATTTACCAAAATCCTCCCTGTGGGGGCATAGGTATCTGCTGGTTATCCAGCCTGCCCATCCACTTCGAAGGTGCCTGTGTTTTGTGTCTTCCGCTCCTTCCCCTTATCCTTTCTTTCCCCCTCTTTGCAGCAGGGGAGGAGCTAGAGGAGGAGCTCTGTCTAGCCTTCTTCTTTCCTTTCCTTTGAACCGGGGAGGAGCTAGAGGAGGAGTTTCTTTTAGCCATTTTCTTCCCCTTCTTTGGAGCAGGGGAGGAGCTGGAGGAGGAGTCAGAGGAGGAGCTTGGCTTGCTCCTCGATGCGGAGCGCCGTCGACGCTTCTCCATTGCCTCAAGGCCTCGAGGAGGGCGGTCTCTTCGGCATTGGGGTGAAGCCTCCATTAGCGGTACCGGCTGAAGAGGAGGCTGTTTTGGAGCCAGAGCCTCCATTAAGGTCTGTGCTTCATTTAACACTCTCGTCAACGCTGGCGGCGTTATAGAGGCCTCGGAGGCTTCGGCCTCGATCAAGGAGTCTCTTGTATTTTGGTCTGTGTGTTGCTTAGGGGTCACCCCCTCGCCCACCTTTTGAATTTCCTTTAAAGGAGAGTCATTAGCCGCTTGTTCTTGCGGTTTTGTTCTTTGCGCCGCCATCTTTTCCCTGCTCAAGGGAATAAGCTGTTTGGTCTTTTTCTTCTTTTTTATGATGAGATCGGCCGTTTGGACGCTCTTGGGGCGCGCTGCTGGCTGTAATTTTATATTTTTCTTTTGAATTGGTGTTCCCATGTCTTCATTTTGAACTGTGGGAAGCAAGGCTTGTTCATAGAGAGCTGCCTTAAGCCTTATTTCTCTATTTTTCTTGGTTTGAGGCGTAAAAGCCTTACATATTTCACAAGCCTGGGAGAGATGGGCTTCTCCCAGGCATGCCACACATTCCTTGTGGGCATCATTGTCTGGTATCTTATTAGGGCATAATATACATTTTTTGAAAGAGGTAGTCATGCCTCTAATCTTCCTTAACCTTCTTTTGTATAGCTTGAGTTGCCGTTGCTGCCTTTTTGAGGCGGATTTAAAGAACTGGCTGGTGGCCCCGTGGCAGGGCTATTTATGGAGTGGAGAGAAAGAGGCGGGTCCACTCTAACGGTCAGTTAGAAGCTTGGGAATGTCCGTTGCTGGCCTGCGCGAGTGCAGGGATTACCAAATGTGTGATTCACAGGCATACCACGCGGGGAAAACTATCTCTACTAATCAAATACTTTCATATACCCTAAATGAACTGAATTTGGGTCACAATAAATACTGTTTTTAGTTACTTATCCCTGAAAATACAAGCATGCAATTTAGACAGAAAGCCCCTTTTCTCTTCCTCCTCTCACAAATAGACACAAATATCAATAGACAACCTTAAGTGTTTTGAATATAAAACATTTATTAATATTATAAGGAAAAACAGTTACACATGTAAAATATCAAACAGCTCTGAAATGTATCACCATCTCTTGAAATTAGATGCTACAGATTTGCCACCGGGAATTGGTGGAGAGTTCCATACTGCAGAACTGGTGCGTTTAAAATAGCGTGGTTTGCTCTTATAGAAGATTTCTTCCAAGTTGGGACTTCTCACAACACCAAAAAACCTCTTGACATTCGGAGGATTGAAATATTGGTGAATGATTGCTTGGCTGAGTTGATTTCCTAGAAGACAAGACAGAATTACTAGCATTGGAAATTATTTATCTGAGATGCATGCTATATTGTTTCAGAATTCTTAAAAGGGGGTGGCACAGATTTGCAAGGAAGAATGAACTCTCTTTTCCCCAGGTAGTTTAGAAAACAAGTTTGTTCTTTTGCCCTCAAGTCAGTTTGACACGGAAGGCTGCAATGACAACCAAGACTGAAGTCACAAAGAATGTGCAGGTTTGATTGAAAAATGAGAGGTTGCTTACCTGTAACCGTAGTTTCCCTAGTGATGTGCTGTGAATTCGCACTAATGGTACTTCTGCGCATGCGCAGCATCGCTCCGGAATCTTTAGTTAGGATTTAAAAAGAATGGCGGTTGGCCCCGCGCACACTCCCCAGTACACTATAAATAGACCGCGGCTGGTCAACCGCCTCCAGATCTCTTCCGCCGCTAAAGCAGCTAGAAGGAGGAGGCATGACAAACAGCGGGGAGGATGGGCGGGGCCGTGCGAATTCACAGCACATCACTAGGGAAACTACGGTTACAGGTAAGCAACCTCTCATTTTCCCTACGTGAGTGTGCTGTGAATGCGCACTAATGGTAAAAGACTAGCGAGCTACCCACCTTGGACGGCGGGAGTCATGCCACCGCAGAAAAAAGCACCGCTCGACCAAAAGCCGCATCTTTCTTGGCCTTCAGATCCAGCTTGTAGTGCGACACAAACGTCAGTGGAGTAGACCAGGTGGCAGCCCGGCAAATGGCATCCAATGGCACACCCCTCCAGAACGCAGCCGTAGCAGACATCGCTCTCGTAGAGTGCCCTTTTACACCAACAGGAAGGTCACGTCCCGAATTCTTGTAAGCCAACTTGATCACAGAGACTATCCATGATGAGAGGCGTTGTGACGAAACAGGGAGACCGCAGGTATCTTTCCTGTATTTAACAAATAGCCTTGGCGTCTTTCTTAACTCTTTAGTTCTACTGAGGTAGAAGGCCACTGCCCTTCGCACATCCAACAAATGAAGACTACGTTCCATGGGGGTAGTAGGAGCCTGAAAAAAGGCTGGCAAAACAATCTCTTGGGACATATGGAAAGAAGACGTCACCTTGGGAAGAAAGGAAATGTCCGTGCGGAGCACAACCTTATCCTTGTGGAACCGGAGGTAAGGCTCATCTGATCTAAGTGCGCAGATCTCACTAACACGCCTGGCAGATGTTATTGCTACTAAGAAAGAGGTTTTCCATGAGAGATGCGAAATATCGCACGAGGCCATGGGTTCATACGGAGGGCTCTGAAGAGATGAAAGCACCACCTCTAGGTTCCATGAAGGAATAACAGGAGTGACTGCTGGTTTAACATTACCAAACCCCTTAAGGAAGAGCTTGACCAAATACTCCGAAAAGAGGGAGGGTAACCCCTCCTTCCTCCTATACCACGATATGGCCGCCAGGTAACATTTCAGTGAAGATAATGATAAACCTGAATCAGACAGCGAAACTAAAAAATCCAAAATCACTGAAATCGGGGCATTTACTGGGTCAAGGTTCCTCTCCTTCATAAACCGGGAATAACGCGCCCATTTATATACATATGAACGTTTTGTTGATGGTTTCTGTGCTGCGTCCAGAATAGCCTTAACCGGGGTTGACAAGAGCACAGAAGACCCTAACTGCCTGGAGCAATCCTCCAGGCAGTCAGTTTCAACATATGGACATCCGGGTAAAGAACCTGCCCGTTTTGCGATGTTAGGAGATCTATTTTGTTTGGAAATCGTCTGTACCTCCCTTTGGACATCTCGAGAAGAACCGAGAACCAAGGCTGGCGAGGCCACCACGGCGACACCAGAATACAATCCCCGATGTCCCTCCGAATCTTTGATAGGACTTTCGGGAGCAGTGGGAACGGAGGAAACACATAAAGAAATTCGGTGCTCCATTTGCGTAGAAACGCATCCCCTAGGCAACCCCGTTCCTGGTCCGCCCTCCTGCGGGCACAATAAAGGGGGCACTTTGCGTTTTCCTGTGACGCAAACAAATCTATCGTTGGAAAACCCCAGATCTTGAAGATCGTATTGTGTTCCTTGCGATTGATAGACCACTCGTGATTGGACATGGGGGATCTGCTTAAGTGGTCTGCTAGTATGTTCTCCTCCCCTGGGAGGTGAACAGCTATTAGGTGAATCTCTCTGGCTATGCACCACTTCCAGATGCGCATAGTAAGACGTGACAGGACCTGTGACCTCGTTCCCCCTTGCTTGTTTATGTAATACATTGACGTTGTGTTGTCCGTCACCACCTGAACTACCTTGCCTAACAACGCCATCTCGAAGGATTTTAGCGCCTTTTCTACGGCAAATAACTCCAGAACATTTATATGATACACTGACTCCTCTGGAGTCCATACACCCTGGGCAGTTAAACCCTCGAAATGTGCACCCCAGCCCTTTAACGAGGAGTCCGTCGTGACCACAGCGGACGGATCCGGACTCTGAAAAGGTAAACCCACAGTTACATTGTCCGGCTCCGTCCACCACAAAAGAGCGCGTCGTACTTTTTTTGGAACGTGAAACCGCACATGGGGGTTGTCCAAACCCGGGCGAAATACAGACAGGAACCAATTCTGGATGGGTCTTAAACGTAACCGGGCATAAGGTGTGACGGCAGTCGTAGACGCCATGTGCCCTAACAGAATTTGGATTTTCTTTGCAGACACCTTCCTTGAACTTAGAACACGCGCAACCAGGGACTTGAGGGACGTAAATCGGTCCTCCGGCAGAAACGCCTTTTGATGGAATGAGTCCAAGACCGCTCCAATAAACTGGATCTTGCGAACAGGCAGTAGGTGAGATTTCTCCCTGTTTACCACAAGACCTAAAGACTGGAGGAGAGAGAGTGTTAGGTCTATATGCACATGCAAGCGTTCTCGCGATTCCGCCACCAAGAGCCAGTCGTCTATGTACGGGTAAACCGTAACGCCCCTAGTTCTAAGGTAAGCAGCAATCACTGCCATACATTTTGTGAAAACTCTGGGAGCCGTCTTAAGGCCGATAGGTAAAACATTAAATCTGTAAGCTGTATCTCCAACCATAAAGGCGAGATACTTCCTATGATGTTCAGCCATGGAAATATGAAAGTATGCGTCCTTCAAGTCTATGGTTGCAAACCAATTATCTTTATTTAGAAGAGGAAGGATCATAGAGAGAGAAACCATTCAAAATTTCTTTGTATCAATGTACATGTTCACTCCTCTTAAGTCTAAAATAGGACGTAAACCACCTCCTCGCTTAGTTACTAAAAAATAACGAGAAAAGAAACATTCATTAAACATAGAACTATCAATACGAGAAATCGCTCCCTTTGCTAGGAGAGTTTCAACTTCTTCCAGCAATGCTGGAGACTCTGGGGTAACTTTCAAATATCCCAACGGGGGCAATGAAGTAAACTCTATTGAATAGCCTTCCTCAATTATCTGGAGGACCCACCTATCGGTGGTAATTGCAGCCCAGGCCTGGGCAAAAGGTCGAAGCCTATCTTTGAACCAAACATAACTAACAAGTTTAGGAAATTCAGGTACACTATCCTGGGGACAGCGGATATCAGAAACACAGAGTCCGTCAAAGACGACGCCTCGTACTACCTGCGGCCTTAGCCTTAGTTTGGTATGGTTGATACCTAGACTTTATATTGTAATTTTGTCTCCGGCCAAATTGGAACCTCGATGAAGAGTTCCGATTGCCCTGATTCGGATTAAATCCACTGAAACTCGCTCTACGATAAGAGGGTGGAGTTTGCTGCCAGCGATTTTTTTGAAAGTTACCTGGCTGCCATGGGTATGGGTATTGATTAGGATATTTTGCTGCTTGCATTACTTCACGTGAGTGTTTAATCTTTTCATCCGTTGTTGGATCAAAAAGACCTTCCTCAGTCATAGGAAGGTCTTCCGCCAACAAACGGCTCTCTTCAGACAGCGTTGAAGCACGAAGCCACGCATGACGCCGTATGGCCGTGGCAGAGGCAAGGAGCTTGCCCGATGTCTCAGCCATATGCTTGGCGAAGTCTTTCTGCAGTCTAGAAAGAATAAGAGCCTCAGCCTGATATGCCCTGGGAAGACGACGGTCTTCAGCCGGTAGGCGATTGATATAGGGCAACATATTGTTCCAGAGAAAGCTCTGGTATCCGCTGAAATAAGTGGCATAATGCGCCATCCTAGCGAACAATCCTGCAGCAACATGTATTTTGTTCCCAAGGGAGTCAATCTTCTTTCCCTCCTTATCTGGTGGTGTTATCGAATATTTCTTAGGTCTTTTTGACCTTGCTGCCTCTGCCACCACCGTATTCGGTAATGTAGGATGGGCAATCCAGCCCGCTAATGACAAATCTATTTTGTAAAGAAGATCGACCCTCCTAGGAACTGCAGGAGCAGCCGACGGAGAAACTTCAGGAACTTTCGTTAACTTTAACAAATATGGAAGAGTCGGGAGTAACAAGGACGAAGAACTGTCCTGCTCCTCHGAAGGGTACATGGSATCATCCACTGTGGWGGCCGGTTTTGGGGCCGGAATGCTCAAAGCAGTTATCATCCTGCCAATCAGCTGAGCAAACGTGTTGTAATCCTCTACACGCTTTGCATTTGTAGTCTGATCCTTCTCTGCATTGTGGGAGTCAACTACTTCCACCGAAGAATCCGATTCGCCATCATCAAGCGGAAGCTGGTCTTCAGAAATAGATGGCAGTGGAGTATGTCTCTGATCATAGAAGGTCTCCTGATGACTACYCTGGACAGGGAAAACTTCTCGTCTTTGCAGCTGTCCGTCAGTCTGTTTTCTAGATCTATAATCTATAGTATTATAATTGGAATGGTAAGTGTCSCCATGATGTTGGGAAATTGGCGGGCCACAATAAATAAAACGCCCCTGGGGAGTTATCTCATACACTCCCGGGTGAGGAAGGGGGCGTCCACTGTCACTTTGATCCTCCCAATGAGCTCTGGAGGTCGATTTTGCCCTCCGTGCG